ATATTTAAGGAGAGGTTGGATGACCACCTGCCATGGATGATTCAGGTGGGGATTTCTTGCTCTGACAAAGGGCTGGACTCTAATCCCTGTTGTCCTTTCAAGCCTTAGCCTTCTACTATTTGATGAACTCCAGTACAGTATTGGACTTTTATCCTTATTTCTGAATCCGCTATAAGGTTACACCACAAAAAAAATTAATCTATTTGTAATGTCTGACATCAAATAGCACACTTCATGAAAAGCAAAAAGCAAAGCGTGCTGCTTATATATACTGCCCCATAGCACTTCAAGCACTCTCTGGGCAGTTTACAAGTTAATTATGCAGGCTACACATTGCCTCCCCAGCAAGCTGGGTACTCATTTTACTGACCTCGGAAGGATAGAAGGCTGAGTCATCCTTGAGCCCACTACCTGGGATTGAACCCCAGGTTATGAGCAGAGTTTTGGCTGCAGTACAGCAGTTTAACCACTGCGTCACGAGGAGCAGAACATATTTTTCTTGTTGACTGGGGTGGGATGGGGAAAATAGTTTTTACAATGGTATGAATGAAATAAACTGCACATCCCCAAACAATTATTGGTTAATGGAGCTACTTTGCATTAACTCAGAAATAAGACAAATCGTTTGCACTATGGATATGAATTCTGTTTAGCTGAATGCTGAAACACAAATGAAATCAAGAGTGATTTGTGCATTTCCCAGACAACCAGGCTCCCACCCCAGTGATCCTTCCTATTAATTTTGGTATTCATACAGTCAAAATAAAAAAATTAAAAAGACAGGATGTGAGTAAAAACAGAGAAAGTATCAGTATCGTTACAATGAGGATGCTGAGCCAGTATCACCAGAGAAGGAAACTGATAGATGAATGAAGCCTAAGACATGCCTGCACACACTACTTGCTGGGGAGGGCCTTTGTGAATAGGCTATAGCAACTACTCTCCAACTTTTTCTTTTTTCATTTTTTAAAGGTGCATAGCAGACTGAGGGACTTATTAGTGTAACTTGTTTCCTGGGCTTTCCCTTTTCTCTTTTCTTTAAAAAATCAATAGTTACAGCATTATAACTAAAAGAGAGAGCATGTCTGCAAAAGAATGCCTACACTCTTCGGTTTAGGTCAGAACCTCACTTTAGGATGCTAAGGTCTTTCTTCCCCCCTACTTTGGTTTCCCTTTTCTTGTTGGGGTGATGGTGTCACTGTTAAAGTCTTGTCTCGTGCTTCTTTCTTGTGTTCTCAGATTTGAAGCTGGGCAAATAATTCCGCCAGAGGTAATGCTGATGATACTGTATATACCCCAACACAAAATCATATTCATTTGCATTTCCTGTTTTCTAGGAATAGAGTTTTTCACAGAGATCCAGAAACATACAAATACAGACACAGACACGGATCAGGTTAAAGAGCACTGGGATGATTGGTTATCAATCTCTGCAGCCTGATCCAGACACAGATGATATCAGGGATGCGAATGGGGATCGGTGCCCATCTCTAATTTCCAGAAAAGGTCAGGGAAAAGAGACTTACTTTGATCTGAATGTGAAGCAGCTTTCTGAATTCTGCAGAGGGGTGTTCCTGACTGTGTGAAACAGAGCCATTTCAGCCCTTATTTATTTTATTTAACATCCTTGAGTTTCAAAGGCTCTCTTACCTGGCTAGGGCAGATTTCATCTGCAATGGGGGGAAATGAAGGAAATACATAGGTTTCAAAGGCCCCAAGAATCTTCACAGACAAAAGCTTTGCACAACCAGGAGGGTTCTGGCAGTACAAAGTCTTTGCTAGATAAAGATTGCTACAGGCTTGGAAACACCATGAGTCCCCTCTGGCAAAAGCTAGTGGCTGTCACTTGCAGCAGAAGCTCTCCAGACTCAGGCTGCAAAGGCCAGCCATCCTCACAAATCACAATAGTCCCCAGCAAGAGAGCACTGCCAGACAGGAGGCCTAGTGGGACGTGCCTGAGCTCTACAGAATAACAAATGTCAAACTTAGCCTGCAAAAAGCACCCACTATCCTTTATCAGCCAGCAATTGAGAGGACATCAAACTAAAAAGGCCTCATATTAAAATAGAGCTGTTAGTCTTTGGTGCCACAACATTTTTGTGTTTGTTATTTTTATTTTGTTTTTGGACTGATATGCTAGCAGACACTAACTTGGCTATCTCTTCTTAAAAAGGTTTTGTAGCAATCACCCTGCTTTGGCTCATGTAGGAGATTATTTGCATGCACCAATGGGAGCTGTTAGGAAGCAGAGCCAGAGAAACTAGAAGGGAGGGGTGAGGAGAGAAGAGTTTTGTTGGTCAGTTAGTCTGTGGGAGTTAGAGAGAGTGGTAGAGGGAGGAGTTAAGGGAGGCAGTTAAGAGTGTGGAATTTATAGAGAGCTAAGATTGAAACAAGTTATTACAAAACTACTGAATACTTTAAAGTCTTTAAAGAACCTGTTTAAGTGAACTGTATCCAATAAACCTGTTTTTGTTAAACTTTACACTCAGCATGGACTTCAATCTTTCTAATTGAACATTGTTGACAGAGATCAACTGGTGGAAGTATAAAGGAGGGAATGTGTTGTGGACCTCAGGCTAGTGAAATAATCTGGGGACATGCAGGGGCATGTCACAGGCTTATATCTCGATTTTAGCCACAGGAAATATTTGCTAAACAGAAAAGGTAGTTTTGGCTTAAATCATAATCCAAGTCAGAGGGGAACTGAGAATCTTCTAAAGCTCACTTCTCCACTGAGATGGGCTTTTACAAGTTTCATCTTTCAACAGTTTCTCACTAAGCTTGACTTGAGAGAATGCTATTGACATTCTTAGCCTGAACTGTTGAACAAGAATTTATTAAACCAAATTAGTGTCTGTTTCTCCTTTGACAATGCCTTCTTATATCCCGTTCAGTATCATCTGAAGCCACAGATCATGAGTGGGCAACTTTAGGGGTTTCTTTCATGCTGCAGAAATAAAAAAAAATCAAGCAAAACAACTCCAAAATCAAGGTTTCTGCTTTAAAAGAAGACATGCACTCCATGCATTTGTTGTTTAATGCTTAATTGCTCATGTTAAAGCATTTTTCTGTTACCATGTCACCATGTTTTAGCACTGCAACAGCACACTTACAGATAAAATATCTTTTTGCCATAATAACAAGTTTGACAGCAGTTCTGGGAACTCCCAGAGAGACCACAAAAATGGTCATGTGACTTGTGCACTGCTCACCACTGCAGTATATATTGAGTTCTGGGTGATACTGACATGTTTACATATCAGAAAATACTATATATTGCCAGCTTATATTGAATTAATAAAATAAAAGAGAGAACGTACAGACTTTATACCATTTGCTTCATTTATTAGTTTAGATATCCTTCAGTCTTGAGAGACTATGGTAACGTGCTCTGTATGGAGGACTTGGAACAGCATCTAGTGTCGCTGGGAAGGCCAATTCGAGAGTGACAATCCCTTCCACATTGCAGACAAGTACAATCTGTCCCCTGTCCAGTCCCCTGATTTTGCTGCTTTCGGGACTGCCTCTTGGCCTAAGTCTGCTGGACAAGGGTCTCTTCAAATTGGGAGAGGCCGTGATGCACCGCCTGCCTTCAGGCTGAATACTCAGATGTCAAGGTTTCCCATCTGTTGAGGTCCATTCCTAAAGCCTTCAGGTCCCGCTTGCAGATATCCTTGTATCACAGCTGTGGTCTCCCTCTGGGGCGATTTCCCTTCACTAATTCTCCATACAGGAGATCTTTTGGAATCTGACCATCCGCCATTCTCACGACATGCCCAAGCCAACGTAGACGTTGCTGTTTCAGTAATGTATACATGCTAAAAATTCCAGCTCATTCTAGGACTACTCTATTTGGAACTTTGTCCTGCCAGCTGATACCAAAAATGCGTTGGAGACAGCGCATAAGGAACATGTTAAGGTTCCTCTCCTGCCATGCACAAAGGGTCCAGAACTCACTGCAGTACAGGAGTGTGCTCAGAACACAGGCTCTATAGACCTGGATCTTGGTATATGCCATCAGCTTGTTATTGAGCCATACCCTCTTTGTGAATCTAGAGAACATGGTAGCTGCTTTGCCAATGCATTTATCCAGCTCAACATCTAGGGAGAAAGTGTCGGAGATTGTTGAGCCAAGGTACACAAATTCATGAACAACTTCCAATTCTTGCGTGGAGATGGTAATAGAGGGAGGTGAGTCCACGTCCTGGCCCATGGCTTCTGTTTTCTTCAGGCTGATTGTTAGTCCAAAATCTTGAAGGGCCTTGCTAAAACGATTTATGAATTGTTGGAGATCTTCAGCAGAGTGGGCAACAATGGCTGCATCATCTGCGAAGAGGAAGTCCCACATGCATTTCAGTTGGACTTTGGTCTTTGCTCTCAATCTAGTGAGATTAAAGAGCTTTCCATCTGATCTAGTCCGGAGATAGATACCTCCTGTTGTAGTTCCAAAGGTGTGCTTCAGCATGACAGCACAAAAGATCCCAAACAGGCTTGGCGCGAGGACACAGCCCTGTTTCACTCCGCTTCCGATATCAAAGGGATCTGATGTTGAGCCATCAAAAACTACAGTGCCCTTCAGTTCCTCATGAAAGGACCTGATGATGTTAAGAAGTTGAAGTGGACATCCTACCTTGGGAAGTATTTTAAAAAGGCCATCCCTGCTAACCAAATCAAAGGCCTTCGTGAGATCTATGAAGGCCACAAAGAGTGGCTGTCATTGTTCCCTACATTTCTCCTGCAACTGTCGGAGGGAGAATACCATGTCAGTGGTGGATCTATTAGCTCGAAATCCACACTGTGATTCTGGATAGACTCTGTCTGCAAGCACCTGGAGTCTCTTTAGTACAACACAGGCAAGCAGCTCCCCTACAATGCTGAAAAGAGAGATGCCATGGTAGTTATTGCAGTTGCCCCTGTCTCCTTCGTTCTTATACAATGTGACAATGTTTGCATCCTTCATGACTTGTGGTACTCCACCTTTGCTTCATTTATAAGCTTACCTGTAAATGGCAGATGCTGGGTACAATCCTGTATCATAACTAGCTCTGACTCGTCCACGATACAGTTCCACTGCTATATGATCCCTGTCACCTTTATACAGCAGGATTCCACTGTCTTCATCTGTTGCAATCTTATGGGAAATTTGAAAGAAAGAAACATTGTTTGATTATAATGCCATTAAACAAAAAGACTTTATGTAAAAGAAATACATTTGTTACAATCATTCAAGCAACAACCCAAACATTTAAGCTGATTAAAACTAAATGAATTATTGGATCAGTGCAAAGAAGTGTTATTTCAGTATTTCTCTAAATGTTGGCCACCCATAGCAGCAGCCATAATTTGTGCTAGAGCCATCACAGGAAAGCAACCCTTGGTTTTGACCTGACCTATGTCTTCACATTCACTGCTTTTCTTCTGAGCCTGCCACCCAGGCATTTTATATGGCAAACATACACTTAGGAAAATCAAGCTGGTTTGAGGGAAAACTAAGGTGAAGCAGCTGAAAGAGAAGAGAAGCAAGCAGTGGAAGAGTTAAGGGAAGTCTCTTTGTCACTTTTCCCCTAAAACTGTCTGTCTCACCACTCTTTGCTTCATTTTTTTTTGTAGCAAAAAAAGCAGTGACTGTGTTCCTTTACTTATCCTGGTTGCCAAATATTTGGTTTGGTCCTAAACACTGTTGCGGTAAGTGACCTTGATTTATACACCTGAAATACTATCAGAAATATGTATGGGTTCAATTCCTGATCCACATTTTATGATGATCACCTTATTACAGAGCACCTTGGCCTTACCTGGAGAGTAATATTGGTCTCTGGGTGAATTTTCGCTGAAGGAATTTGCAAGTAAGATTCTTTGTTCACAAAGTTTATGCTGACTAGTTTTTCACATTTATCACCCTGGTAACCTGACAAGCACTGACAGATAGGTTCGTTGGCTCTGATGATGCATTGGGCTCCATTTTGACACTCATAATTATCACATGGGCTGGTTCGAGGCAAGACCATTGGTGGTGAAAACTCACAGAAAAGTCCACTAGATGCAAAGAGACAATTGTGTAAGATGAAGTATTCCATAATGTGATAATAGATGGTTTATCACACCTTTCTAAATTACTCTCACCTGTACCCTTCAGGGCATATGCAGGTATAACCATTCACTGCATCAGTACACTGTGCTCCATTTTTACACTTGTTGTCTTGGCAGTCATCATAGTCAGCATCACAGTGTTCTCCAACATAGCCAGGTGTGCAATTACATCTATACAGTAGAAAAATATACAGGGTAATGCAATTCCAAAATAATAAACAGCAGGTATACAAAATACATTGCAAAAGCTACAAATTGCAGTGCTGTTAAAAAAAATATATTGAAAATTAGATATATATTGTACTGCACTTGAAAGAAAATACTTCAGAGTTTGTTGCTGAAAGGCAGTAGACTGATTGAAAACCTTGCTCTGCATGAGAATCTGCAGTTTTAATATTTATAGGTATTGCCTTGTTTGCAGATCTGTTTCATTATATGGCTTTATATTCAGACTGCACATCTTGAGGGCTCTCATAAATCATTCTGTTAGCCTTCTTTGCAGTTGGAGTCACACAAATGATTTTTCAAAATTAGTAAATCTATAAATCTTATTTGAAGAGATCTTAACAAATAAACCAAGAGTTTGCTTTGGGGTTGTGTACAGTGAATGAACCAGCACTACACTCCCCATAAATTAACCATGATCAATAATTCATTTTTCTCGAAGGTTTTCACAGCCGGGATCTGATAGTTGTTGTGGGTTTTTCGGGCTTCAGAACACGGCCAAAGAGCCCGAAAAATCCACAGCAACCATCAATTCATTTTTCATTTGCATTTTTTTTAAAAAATGAAAAAATAGGTTTAGCATTGTTATCCGTAAAATTTTAACTCCACAGTTTTAGTGTGAAATGACAGGTTACTCACCTGTAATTGTAGTTCTTTGAGTGGACCTCTGTGATTTACACCCTGGGTAATCTGTGCCTGCATGGTGCCTCATCGGAAGATTCTAGAGCTTCTGCGGTAGCAAAAAACCACATTAGAATAGACCCCTCCCCCTCCATATAAGTACCTTGGCACCAAGACTCTCCCTTCAGTTATGTCAACTCCCACATAATAGAGCTGCATGGCGTGACAGTGGGGAGGTCGGGTAGGATGTGTGAATCACAGAGGTCCACTTGGAGAACTACAATTACAGGTGAGTAACCTGTCGTTCTTCTTCGTGGCCTCTGTGAATCACACTGTGAGTGACCAGCAAGCTATCTTACCTGGAGGAAGGGTGTCACACCAAGGTAGAAGCTAGCACAGCACATCCAAATGCTGCATCAGACTTCTGTCGAACATCTAGCCTATAGTGCCTGATGAATGTGGATGGCTGTGACCAAGTGGCAGAAGCACAGACATCTAGTAGAGGCACACTGTGTAAAAACTCTGTAGAAGCTGCCACTGCTCTAGTAGAATGAGGGCAAATCACCTGGGGAGCTGGCTTTTGAGCGAGCTGATACGCCAGGTGGATAGTAGAAGCAACTAATTCGGAGATCCTCTGCGAGGACACCTGAAGACCTTTAGTGGAAGGTTGGTGACTGATAAAAAGGCCTAAAAGGTTGTGTGCGGCCCAAATAAAAAGTAAGAGCCCTTCTAATGTCCAGAGAATGGAGGAGCCTTTCTTGAACTGTAAATGGTGATGGAAAGTAGGAGGGGAGGACCAACGGTTGGCATAGGTGAAACTAGGATACAATTTTAGGAAAGAAGGCGATACCCACAGACAACTTGACCTTATCTGGAAAAATCTGCAGATAGGGGTAGTCATATTGCAAGGCTTCTAGATCGCTGGTCTGGCAAGCAGACGTAATAGCAACAAGGAAGGCCATTTTGAAGGTAAGTAGCTGAAGATCCACAGAGGCTAAGGGGTCAAATGGACCCTTAGTGAGCTGCTGTAAAACAAGAGTTAGAGACCATTGCAGTGAGGGCGGATAAACATCTGGACATATGTGTGATAAGCCCTAGAGGAAGCACTTTAGAGTGGGATGCCTGAAAAAAACAGGCTGCTGGAGAGTTTGGTGTTTGATAAGAGATGATTGCAGAGAGGTAAACCCTTAAGGAGGAAAGAGAGAGGCCTTTAGTCTTAAGATGAAGCAAGAAATGGAGGACAGTGGAGTGAGATGGGTTGACTGAAGGCCGAGCAGAGGCTTCAGGGAAGGACTGAAATTTCTTCCATTTGCATAGATAAGCCTTTCTGATTGATGGTTTCTTTGCCTGACAGAGGACATCCATCAAGGAGGCAGAATCCTTCATGCTGCCAGGTGCAGAGCAGGTAGGACTGGGTGGAGAACCTGGGAGTTGTTCTGTGTGAGGAGGTGTGGCAGGCAGGGAAGATGATGAATGTCCGATGACAGATTGTGAAGAACTCGGAACCAGGATTGTCCCGGCCACCAAGGCCTATAATGATGGCAATGGGTTTGTCCTATTGTAAGCAAACTACTATTTTGTGGAGGAGGGGGAACAGTGGAAAGAGGTAAGTAAGGGTCCTGGGCCAATGGCCAACGAACGCATCTCCCCACATGGGAGCAATAGCGTTTGTACTTCTGATTCTTGCGGGAGGCAAACAGGTTGACAGTTGGCTTGCCCCATCAAGCAGAGGAGGAGGAAGACTGACTGTTCCCATTTATGAGGTTGAGAGTCCGTGCAGCTGAGGTCTGCAAGGTTGTTGTCCTGACCTGCTATATGCAGTGCTGCGAGGCAGATGTGATGCGACAGACACTATTCCCAGAGGTTGATTGTGAGGTAGAGGAGACTTGGGGAGTGGGTGCTGCCCTGTTTCAGAATGTAGTACATAGTTGTTGTGGTGTTGTTGTTGGCAATCTGTACCATCTTGTCCACAAGGTGGTTTCTGAAGGCCTTGCATGCTTTTATCAGTGCCAGAAATTCTATTTCATTTATGTGGAGTAATTTTTCTCTGTGGGACCATTTGGCATGGATCCTTAGGGATTTGCAGTGAGCACCCCAGCCTGTAAGGCTGGCATCGGTAGTGACCTGTATTTGATGACGTGGTTGTTGAAACAGTTGTCCTATCGTAAGTTTTGGAGAAGAACACCACGATGAAAGTTGGGAGGCGAGTTCTGGAATGACCCTTAGCATAGTGTGAGGAGGGTCTTTTCGTGGGTCAAAGAGGGCAAGAAACCATGACTGGAGTGATCTCACTTTTAAGTGTATGTGTTGTACTACAGATGTCATGGATGCCATGGTGCCCAGAACACGTAGAACGGTTAATGCAGGTGCAAGCACATGAGGGGTGAAGTTGCGAAGCAAAACTACCAAGTTGCATTGCTTGTCTGGTGGAAGGAATGCACGGGCTTGAGTAGAGTCTATGAGTGATCCTATGTACTGAACAACTTTTGCAGGTTATAACTTGGATTTCTGTACATTTACAGCAAGATGGAGATTGCAGAGAAGGAATAACGTGAAGTGGGTGTCCTCTGCGCTTGCAATGAGAGTGAGCTACAAGGAGCCAGTCACTGATGTTGAGGAAGATGAGAATCTTGTGAAGTCTGAGGTAAGCTGCAACTGGGGCCATGCATTTGGTGAAGACCCTGGGAGCTGTTGCAAGGCCAAAGGGAAGCCTTTTGAACTGATAGGCCTGAGTTCCAAGTTGGAAGTGAAGAAAGTTTTTGTGGGAAGGATGTGTGGAGATGTGGAAATATGCACCTCAGAAATCTATGACTGTGAACTAGTCATTCTTTTTGAGTAGAGGGAGAACTGTCTTGAGGGTGACCATATGAAATTTGGTGGTAATGATGTAGTGGTTCAGCTCTCTGAGGTCTAAGATTGGAAAGAGACTTCTGTCCCTTTTCAGTGTTTTCAGAGGACAGGGTTTTTTTTATGATCTCAGTCAACTGGACATCAAACATGATGTTTGGTCTTGCAATCTTTGTGCCTAGTGGTGGTTTGCTGATGGGGTTTGGCCCTGTAAGGTTGTTGTTTGAAATAGGGAGTATAATGAGTTTGTCTCTGGGGTTCCTGATGGAACTTTTGGTAAGAAGTGTAGGGACATCTCCACTGATTAAGTTGAGGACATTGTTGGTATGATGTTGGTATGACGTCTCGCTGTTGATCTTTTCTTTTGGACATTTTTCAAAATGTTATCCATTTCTGCATTAAAAAGGCCAGTCCCATTGAAGAGAAGGTCCTCAATGCATGCTCGGGCATCCTCAGCAAGGCCAGCTGTTCTTAGCCAGGAAAAGCACCAAATGGTGACAGAGGTAGCCATGGATTTAGCTGTCACATCCACAGTGTGTCCAGCTGATAGCAATTGCTGTTTGGCAACAGAGAGTCCTTCTTGCTGGAATATTTGTGCCAGCACTTTTTTTGTCTTCTGGTAATGCCTCAGTAAAGGTGGACACATTGTCCCAGAGAAAACACTAATAGGTGCCCATTGCTCCTTGGTAATTAGCCACTCTCATAGTGAAGGTAGCAGAGGAATAGAGCCATCTGCCCATGGAGTCAATCCTCCTCCTAATCCTTGTTGAGTGATATAAGGGCTTGTTGGTGTCGAGACTGAGACTGTGAGGCCTCTACAAAGATCGAATGTGGAGTTAGTTGCTTTTGGAGAAACAATGCTCTGGTATCGTAAACTCTGTAAAGGTTGTCGATACATTTCGATAGAGAATAGGATGATCTGGCGTCGTCCACAAACGTTGGGTGGTGCTGAGTAGGGATGGTAACATAGAAATGTGAACTGGAGTAGTTGTATCTTTGGAGATTGGATCGCAGAGATGATCCGCTGGCTCAGTTGTAGATCTATGGATTTGGAGATCCAAAGACTTGGCCATATGTACCATCAATTGTGCGTAAGTCTGAAAATCCTCTGCCAGATTTGGGGGTTCAGCATCTGCTAGGTCAGAATCAGGTGAACCGAGTAAGACAGATGGTGTTTGTGGCCTGGAACCCTGATCCGATTATTCAGGATTGCGTTGGGAGTCAATAGAATGTCAATTGACTTCTGTGGGGTTGTGAGTCATAATATTGATTTCAATGTCCGGACGTCGGTGTGGACGGTATGTCCATGGACATCTGTCGGTGTTGAGGATCATCGACCAACAGTGATGTTAATAGAGCATCCATGGACACAGATTGATATATAGGGTCCTCAACATCATAGTTGATGTCGTGATGGTTACGGACTCGAGGCTTAAATATCGGTAGATGTCGAGGGTCATCCATTGGCAATGGTGCTG